AACTTTTCCAACATCTTGAGAACTTTACGCGTGTGAGGGATCACTTCTTTACTAATTCCTCCTTCGCGATTAGTCCTAGCAGCGATTGGGAATCGATACGTCTCTTTTGAGTGAGAGATAACTGAACAACTACCTCTTTCTCACAGAGATAGAGAGTTAAACTACCTCTTATTTGCTACGTATTGGAACACCCTCTTTCTAGCGAGTCAGAAGATACTACACCGCTCCTAGTTACTTACTCGACCCTAGACCAATCCCAATTCTAATTCCTAACTCACTCCTAGTTTGATAGGATCCGAGCGATTAGTAGAGGAGGAACTTGACGCGCTTGAGTCCACCTCTTCACTTATCTGGATCTGCTATGTAGTCGAATTGACTAGCTCTTAGTAGACCCGATCCTATACCTATTCTTTAAGGAAATTACCTACTCGTTCAACAACTCTTCAATCGCTCCCATCCCTCTTCTTATTCCAACAACTCTTGAGAGCTATTATCATAGCTAAAGCTAAACATTTGCTAGCTCGCTTTCTTTCATGCAATGCAATAAACAGAGGAGAGGGGAAAGAGAAAATAGAATATCCGCTTTTACGAGATTGGGCCGATGAGACACTCCTTCCCCACCACTCCTAGCTATAGCGATTGAGGTCTCAACGAGCCTCTTTGAACAACCAACTCTTGATGCACTCCTAGCACTATTCGTATTCGACTTCACTCTTTAGAGCATTTTTTTAGTTATTAGGAAGCTACTTTACCGCATATTGGAAATTCACTCTTATGAACAACTATTTAGATAGGAATGCGAAATACCCCTCGATCTTATTAGCGCGGACTTGAATCGTAGGAGCGATTAGTACGAAGCTACTTGAACACTACCAAACACTCCTATTTCAACAACTTGCTAGGATTTCGAACTTACCAACTAAAGGACCTCTTCTTATTACGCAGTTGGACTAGAAATGCACTCCTAGTTAATAGATAGAGGCCCTCTTAGATTGCTCAAGATAAGACCTCCAATATCAATATTTAATATTTATTACTGAAAAACCTTAGTTTGCGTTTTTAATGATGATTTACCACGAGGGCATAAGAACGCAGGTTTTGCCATCCAGGATGAAGGGCAAGATTTCTCAGATCGGGTTGTTTGCGAGTTGGGATGGATTGGGTTCGGTCTTCCTTCTCTGCGGAATTACGGAGTTGGTCTTCCCGGGTTGTGTCTTCGATCAACCTTTGCCTTTGGAGTGGATCTTCCTTCTCATCATAAGTCAAGTAAGATCTCAATCTGGTAAAGGGTAAAGGAAGAGCGGAGTTTTCGGTCATCGAGAAGGCAAGTCTTATCAATATCCTAAAGGCACGTACTTGGGTTCAGCAATAAGGGAGAAGTTCAGTAGAAAGAAGAGGTACCAAGAGTCGAAAACCGGCTAAAAGAGCAAGGAAGAGGTAACAAGCGTCGTTGACAAGCGATCGGCGATTTGATTACACGGGGTCTCAACAAACAAGCAAGTTTGGGAAAGGGATCGTATCAAAACAGGATCTTTCTCTTGAGAACTGTTGCTATGGAAACCCTTAATTAATAATTAAGTTACTTAGAAAATGGTCTTATCGAAGGAATTCTCTAATCGCTCAATTAATTAATGTCGTATAATAATCTCTTGGGGTTTTGGCTCACTCCCTCCTTGGGGGTTAAGGTTCTAGTGGTGGAAGGTCCTCCTGGTTTGGTAGCTGGGCTTGGATAAAAGTTGGGGGCAGTCTGATGGGCCTGTCGCTAAGGTACGGTCGAATTAAGGAGAAAGGCTGGGAAGATATGCCAGGCTTTAGTCGAAGGTCTTCAACAGTGGCATTCAAATCGAGGACGCTTGTCTCATGGCCCTCTTAAGAATTGTATTTAGCTGCCCTCCTAACATGAGTGAAAAAAGAGGTTCATTTGAGCATTTCACGATCGCTCGCCTTTTCACCGCTTCAACCAGAGTAGAGTGGAAATCCCCTCCATTAGGGGTGCTTTTCGTAATATCATAATCATACGTAATATCATAAGGGCAACAGGATCAACCCCTCTCTGAGTTGCTAGCTGCTTTGGTTTCACCAACCGCGCCTTCGTATTAAATGCGTATTAAACGTGAGCTTTGGTTTTACCAAACGGCTATATAGTCCTTTGACCCTATGCTTAACACATAAGAGTCAAGGAAGTAAGCTCGTTCTTTTTGGTTTGACCAAAGGAATTGGTATTACCGTGTTTTGGTATGATCGAAAGAAAGCGTAAAGAAAGAAGCAAAAGCGAGCGAACCGGTCTTGTCTTAGTAGCTTTCCTTTATATACACATAACGAAGTATATGAAGACAACTTACAACAAATAGCAGCTCAGTTAGGTAACTCAGTAAGGTAGTAAGGCGCAAGGGAAGCGAGTTAAGGGAGAGGAGCAAGGTAGGTGTAAGTGCAAGGTCCTCATCGTAAGGTCACTTGGTAAGGGGTAAGGTCGTCGGTTAGGTCTGCAATCGTAGTGGGCATCCGGTAAACGTACCTTTTGTTGGGTCTTGGTGTAGCTGGTTCAGTAAACATGGGTAAGGT